CCAGAATATCTCTTTGATAGGCAGAATGTGCAGGAAACAAAATTTCTACTGTTTTATCAAAAGATAAGATCTAACAGAATGTATATACTGGTGTGTTGCTACTAGGTATTGAAGTGTGCTGCTATTTGTAAGAGATGTAAATCATTGTCCTGAGTATAAAAGTGTGTTTCAAAATTGGTTTGCTCTTTTTGAAAATGGAAGGGTGTTCATGTGATGGCAGAATTCTCAGAAAGATTGCTGCCTTCATTCCTCTTAAATGTTGTCCTCGCATTTGGATGTAGCAGTGCTTCCTCTCTCTCATTTTCATTGTGTGATATTAAGAGTAATTTACAGCCCCCCTTACAAAGGTGCTGTGGTGTAATGGCGAGGACCTGCCTGAAAGGTTGTTTAGGCTCTGAATGCTGTGCACTGAACTCGGAGCAACAAGATTTTCATTTTTACTTTTAAACAGTATGTGAAAACCTTTTCTCCTCCAGCATTTCCAATGTCTTTTCCACAGCTATTGTTCCAGGGAGCTCATTTTCTTTGTGCCTGGCACGCTGTGGTTTTTAAAGAACAACAAGTAGCAAACAAAACAAGTGGACCACGTACACAGTGCACAAAGTGCTTTGCAGCCTCATGGGTTGAAAGGTGTGTGAGAGATGAGAGCTTTGAGTGGAAATGCGTGCCTCAGGTTTTTCCCAGAGGTTTTCTCCAAGAAGGCAACACAGCCAGAAGCCCAGCTGAAGTGTCTTGATACCAATGCACACAGCACAAAAAATAAAGAGGAACTGGAATCAGAGGTGCAGTTGGAAAACTACAGTCTTACTGCTATCACAGAAACATGGTGGGATGATTCACGTAACTGGAATATCATGATAAAGGGCTCTCAGCTTTATAGAAGGAATAGGTGAGGCAGGAGGGCTGGTGGAGTTGTCCTCTGTATTAAAAAGTGGATAATCTGTGAGGAGCTGTGCCTGAGCAGCTCATGAAAAGGTCGAGAGCTTGTGGGTTAAAACTGGACCAGACTAATAAGGGGTATCAGGTGGTTGGAGTCTACTACAAGCGAACTGATAAAGGGGAACCTGCTGAATGGTCCTTCTTGCATCATCTGCAAGAGATGTCCTTTGTGTAGGGTCTCATCCTGGTGGGGGATTTCAACCACCTGGATATCTGCAGGGAAAACAGCATGGTGAGCTGCAAGAAGTCCGGGAGACTCCTGGTGTCCATGAATGACAGCTTCCTGGTTCAGGTCTTGGACACATCCACCAGAGGTGACGTGTTGCTGGACCTAATGTTCAGCAATGCAGAAGGGATCATAAAAGAGGCTAAGATTGGAGGCAGTCTGGGCTGCAGTGACCATGCCCTCCTTGGTGGCTTGGCCTGGCCTGGGAAGAATATAGGGATGCAGTTGGAAGTGAACTTGGCAAGGAAGGTGAAAAAGAAACAAAAAAACAAGAAGGGATTCTTTAGGTACATTGGCAGACAAGGCAGTCAAAGGAGAGCATTCCTCCTCTGATGAATGACAGTGGAGAGCTAACATCCTTAGACATGGAGAAGGCTGAGGTACTTAATGAGTTCTTTGCCTCGGTGTTCACAGCTAGTCAGCCTTCTCATACCTCTTCTGTTCTAGAGCTTCTAAGCAGGGAAGAAAATCCCTCCCAGCATAAGAGCAGAGCAAGTCCCCAACCATCTCATGAAGCTGGATGCTTTCAAATCTATGGGGCCAGATGATATGCATCCCAGGATTCTGAAAGAAATGGCTGATGTGGTTGCTGAGCTGCCCTCTATTGTATTTGAAAAATCATGGCTGTCAGGCAAAGTCCCTGGTGACTGGAAAGAGAGAAATATCACTCCTGTATTCAAGTAAGGGAGAAAGGAAAACCTGGGGGAAAGGAAGAAAGGAAAACCTGGGGAACAATAGGCTGGTGATCCTCACCTTTGTCCTTGGGAGGATCATGGAGCATATCCTCCTGGAAGAGATGTTAAGGCACATGAGAGATGAGCAGGTGATCTGAGACAGCCAGAGGATTGTTGTCAACAGCTCAGTGTCCAGATGGAAGCTGGTCATGAGAGGGTCTGTTCTGGTAGCAGTACTCTTCAGCATTTTAATCAGTGGCATAGCTAGTGGGATTGAGCATACTCTCAGCAAGTTTGCTGATGCCACCAAGGTGAATGGTGCAGTTGATACAATAGAAGAGAGGGATGCCAGCCAGAGGGACCTGGACATGCTCAAAAAGTATGCGCGTGAGAATCTAATGAGGTTTAAGAAGGTGTTGCACTTGGGTTGGGACAGTCTTAGATATGAGTACAGACAGGGAGAAGAACTCCTTGAAAGCAACCCTGTGGAGAAGGACTTGGGTGTCCTGAGGGATAAAAAACTGGACAAGAGCCAACAGCGTGGTCTCGCAGCCCAGAAGGCCAACTGTATCCTGGGCTCCATCAGCAGAGAGGTAGCAGCAGGATGAGGCAGGTGATTGTCCCCATCTACTCTGCCCTTGTAATGCCCCTGTGGTACTGCATCCAGGTCTGACACACCCAGTACAGGAAGGATGTAGAACTGCTGGTGCAGGTCCAGAGAAGGGTGATGATCAGAGACCTGGAGCACCTCTCCTATGAAGAAAGGCTGAGGGAGTTGGGCTTGTTCAGCTTGGAGAAGAGGAGGCTCTGGGGAGACCTCCTTGTGGCCTTCCAATAACTTAAGGGAGCTTATATGCAGGGGAGGGACTGAATTTTTCCATGGCCTCATAGCGATAGAACAAGGGGGAATGGCTTTAAAGTATAAGAGGGTAGATTTAGGTTAGATGTTAGGAGGAAATTATTTACTCAGAGTGCCCAGGGAAGTTGTGGATGATCTGTCGCTGAAGGTGTTCAAGGCCAGGCTGGATGGGGTCCTGAGCAGCCTGATCCAGTGGTTGGCAACCCTGCCCCCATGGCCAGGGGGTTGAAACTAGCTGATCTTCAAGGTCCCCTCCAACTTAAGCCGTGTTTCTGTGATACCTTACAATTAGTATTATGGTTTATGTGCATTCAGAATGTCTCCTTTATTATCACTGCATTTTTATTTAATAAGCGTATTCTGAGTGCTTATGGGTTTGTTGAATCTACCCCCTTAAATTGCAAAATTACAAGTTTAATTAGACTTTAATTGCAAGAAGCATACACACAAGAGGAGAAGAAAGCACTCTGTGATCTCACAGACACTCTGCCTCCTATGTTGATTATTCAAAACTTGATGTCATTCTCTATCACAGTGTACAAGGATCTTATAGAGTACTTACTCCATCTTACTGAGCAGTATTGCTGGTTTCCACGTTGAAATACAAGAGTAAGCAGCAAGTCTGATATGAGCTCAAAGTGCTGTTGTTGGGAGTACAGGACAGAAAAGCCCACTGTGCTGTGGAGGTTGGTGTCAGCTGGCACTGAAATAAGCGTTATCCATTTGTAGTGGTGCAATTTGTAAAGCAGTACCATACAGGCTCTTTGGGACTTTTTTTTTTTTGCTTTTGTGCTAACTTGGACAGAGCTTGTGCTCTCCTGGGAGTGTTCATCACAGAATGGCCTGGGTTGAAAAGGACCACAATGATCATCTAGTTTCAACCCCCTGTAGGGTCGCCAACCACCAGAGCAGGCTGCACAGAGCCACATCCAGCTTGAATGCCTCCAGGGATGGGGCATCCACAACCTCCTTGGGCATTATTTTCCAGTGTGTCACCACTGTCTGTATGAAAAACTTCCCCCTAATATCTAACCTAAACCACCCCCTGTATCAGTTTAAGACCATTCCCCCTTGTCCTATCACTATCCACCCTTGTAAGCAGCGGTTCCCCCTCCTGTTTATAAGCTCCCTTCAAGTCCTGGAAAGCCGAGTGTTGTAGCTTTGGCCAGTGACAGGGCTGCACACTGCTTGTCACATGCCACTTTGCATTTCTGCCATGTCATTTCAATTGTACCGGTGGATCTTTTGATATTTATTCAGGTTTTTGGATAAGCAGTTGAGTAGTAGATACCATGGGAGTCATCTGTCACCCAACAGCTCTCTGACAGGACTTCAGCAACAGTAAGATGAAACTGCCATTCTGGCTTAATTCCTATATGAGGAGCCAGTATGGTGGATGGCACTGCTCAGGTGGCATTTGTCCATGCACTATCCCTGTTAACAAGGAGTTAGTTCAGTTTGCCTTCCAGACACTTATTTGCCATGGATTGCCTCAATATGTTTATTAAGTCCTTCACTCAGTCTTCAGCAGAGACATCCTTTTGTTGTTCCTGGGCATTATCTGTAAATTAAGAAATGTTGATTAATGAACGTACTTAGAACAAGCACGGTACCTCTTGCTTTTCTCCTTTTGTCGCTTAGCAACAGAATTTCTCCCAGTGCTGTCCCTGTCACTTCAGGAGGACCGTATCTATGATATCCTCTCTAATTCTTTTAGTTTTTCCTTTCAGGAAGCCTTGCTAAAAGATTTGGGTAACTTCATCAACCTCTTGACAGACATAATAAAGCAGAATGGGATAACATCAAACGATAATTCACTTCGACAGTGTAAACTTTGCCGAATTTATCAGGAGTCTGTTAAGCTTGATAGTGTTTATAATGAAAATTCCTCTCCTGTGAAAAATATCATGAAGAAAAACAGCTGGGTTGGAAATGTAGTTTTTAGCTCCTTGAAACTCGTTCAGGGGATTCATAGTGATAGAACACCTCCTCGTTTATGCATATGTTAATTGCACCAGGCTTCCTCTGCTTCATAACTAATACATAACACCATAAGCTTTATTTCTAAATCAGTCAAATGTGCAATGGTGTGTTTATGTATAGATACATAACGTTTCCTCCAAGTGAGCTAAAACTTCCATTGCCCTCTCCCACCCAACTAAAATCTGAGTGCTGATGTTTCCTTGTTTATTCCTCGAGAGTTCTCTGATGGCACCGTGCAGAAAAAGCATTTAAACTTCGTTGCCAAGTGTTGTTTCTAGTAGTTTAAATCTTGGATTATGCCTTCTTAAATATATTCCAGTGCGAGAAACAAGCCTTCTGGAAATTAAAGAAGATATGGAACTGGATCCAGAGGAGAACAGCACTGTCTTCATGGGCATACTCATCAAAGGGCTGGCCAAGCTGAAAAAAATCCCTGAAACAGTGAAAGCCATCCAGGATCGCCTAGAACAAGAACTGAAGCAGATTGTTAAGCGTTCCACGACTCAGGTGGCAGACAATGATTACCAGAGGGGGGAAAATATTTCCCAGGAAAATCAGCCTAGGTAAGGATATTTCAAGCACTGAAATGTGATTGCTGCAAAAAAGATGTCTGGAGAAGGAATGCCAATGTTTGTTTGGCTTTTTTTTTCCTTGCAGTAGGAGAGATATTAAATAGTAATTTTTTTGAGAAATGTCTGTGTCTCTCCGAAGGGCTGAAGTACCTTCAGCACCTAAAAGGCTTGGGAATTTAGGAAATGTGTTCAAAAAGGGGGAAATACTGTTGCTTTTCAGCTAAGTTTGTGGGAAAAGGAGATGCTTCCTTCTGTGGTTGTTCACAGAAGAGTCTTCTGGCTAAATTTCCAGTACTCGCAGGGAGCTTATAAGCAGAAAAGGGGTAAGATTTTACACTGCCTAATATTGATAGGACAAGGAGGAATGGCTTTAAACTTAAACAGTGAAAGTTTAGAATAGATATTAGGAATAAATTCCTTGTTGAGAGGGTGATGAGGCACTGAAACAGGCTGCTTGGAGAAGCTGTGGATGCCATATCCCTGAAGGCATTCAGAGCCAGGTTGGCTGGGGCCCTGGGCAACCTGATGTGGCAGTAGACAATCCTGCTCATGACAGGGGACTGGAACTCAGTCGTCTTTCAAGTCCTTTCCAACCTAAGCCATTCTGTGATTCTATAAGCATGTTTGAAATCCAGATTTGAAGGTAGAAGCTCTGCAGAATTACTTAACTAGTAAAAGGTACATGATGTTAAGCACTTGGTTATTTATTTTTTTTTTAACCTAAACCTTTCATTTTAAGCAGCTTTACAATAGATTGAATCGTAATGCTGTCTCAGATTGCTGGTATGTATGGTATAAAGAACACTTGGTGCTGAAACAAATATTATGTTCTTGTGTTGCACTTGGGAAGAGAAGATTCGACTCAGTTGCTCATTTCAAGTGCAGTAGATTCTAATTAAGGTGATGCAGGTGCAAAGCTTTGTAATCATAGATGGAACTAATTATATCAATAAATATATGGCCAAAAATCTATTTGTTTTTCAGTTCCATTAGTTGCAAAGTGTGAAAGCCCACTGAGAAATACATTTCTGCTGTTCTTCATGATTTGCTAGAACAGGACATCTTAAGGGCTAGCTATTGCTTGTAGCTGAATTCTTAATTTGTGATACTGCTCATTGCAATGATCACCACCAGAAGAAATTAATATTGGAGAAGAAATCTGAAAACAAAAATTTGTCTTCATTGTACATAATATTTATTGTGGAAATAGTTCTTGAGGAAAAATTTGGTAAAGAATTATTTTCCAATTCCTCTCATTATTTTAAAGTAGAATCATAGAATCACTACAGTTGGAAAAGACCACTAAGATCATCTACCAACCATTGACCCATCACCACTGAGCCACTAGCCATCTTCCACAGTGCCACATCTAACCTTTTTTTAATGGTGGATGGTGACTCCACCACTTCCCTGGGTAGCCTGTTCCAAATGCCATTGCTGTGGAAACAATTACGCTGTGAAGAATTAGAATTAGAGTTGTGGTATTGATATCTCGATTAAATATATAATTATATTATATAATAATATATTATATATTAATATATAAATTTATATATATAAAAATTATATATTAAATTATATATAGGGTTGAAAAGCAGTGCTTTTGTTGTTGATGCAAAGATGGAACTTAACATATTCTCAATTCTTGTTTTGAGAGGTTACATGGCTCTTGGATGCCATTTGAAATTGATGAAGTTGGGTTGGATCATACTTCAATGATGTTAAGGAGCCCAGAGGCCTGGGTGAGATACCAAAAACTTCAGTGGATTTTGGCATCTGATTAATAGCAGTTTGTGATCCCTTAGGATGCCTATATTGTAAAGCTTTGGAAAGTGTCTTGAATTCCTGTTGAGTAAGGAGACAATTAGAACTGATTCTAAACCAAAATTACATGGGAAGTTTACAGCAAGCAGGTAAATTCATTTATACTGAAAAGGATAAATTATAGTATAGAAAGATATACCATCCCGTAAATTAGCTACAGTTTCAAATCAAAATGAAGTGACTTTTTCCTGGTGTCAAGAAGAAAACAAAGCCAGGACGACAAGGTCCTCCTATTTCAAGAGAGCTCTGTAAGACTCCAAATTTGAGAATAATTCAGAGCCTGAAACTGCTTAACTGTTCATTAGCCAGTCAGCCTCAATGACTATTTGACCTTAATAGATGTTAATAGATGTTAGGATTTTAGGATGTTAGGATGATAATAAAATGTTTTTCAATTCACCTTAGCACAAGTCGCACGTGAATGCCTTTCAGAGCTCAGTGCCTGTATTCAGGTACTGTGCTGTGTATGATGTCCATACAAAACTCTCAATTCTGGCAAATAAAATGACTAATGAGATGGCAGGGAGGAGGGAAGGGCAGAGTAGGGGCTGAGGCTTTATGCTGAGCATTCTGTTGGACAGTTCCCTTCTGCTTGTTAGGTACGTACAGACCGAACGATATGCATCACTGTATGCATCTTCATCATTGTGTCGACTCTCTGAGGTTGGCTCACTTCTTTTCTTTACGAAAAAGATGACGTTGGATGCCATTTGATGAATGTGTCTGTGGAGATTCTGGTGTAATTCTTTTAGGGAATCACCAGGAAAATAATATAAAGCCCCCTCATTGTACAAGAGAGAACTAATCTCTGGAAAAGGCTTCCAGAGTCCAAAGACATCAGACAGTGTTCTTGCATTCTTTTTCTTTTTCTTTTTTTTTTTGACTACCTTTTGTGTGGCCAACTTGTACATTTGTATATGAAAACCATTATGAATTGCATCCAATTTTTTTTTTTTTTTTTTTAAGATCAAGACTGTTATTTTTGTCAAAGCAACTAGGGCCCAAAGAGTGCCATCTCTTACTTATCTCCCAGTGTGCTCTTTGTGGAGCCAGCATGCATTGGGCTCCTGGCTCAGATCTTCAGAGTTTCCTGAATTCTTTTTCAGACAGGGCAGACCCCGTCTGCTTCCTAGGAGCAAGCCTTGGCTGTGCTATAAAAGGTGTTGGCACTGGGCTTGTTAGTGAATATACACACAAGTGCAAGCAGCAGTTCTAGTATTTATACTGTGCGACCCATTCTGTCGTGGATATCCTATCACTGTCTCTTGCATTGAGCACTTCTCTCCTTGGTAAGCAGTTTGGCTGCTTGGAGAGTTGGTGTGAAATTGCAAGGACCTTTGTGCAGTGGCAGCAGGATATTTATTTATTTATTTATTTTTACCAATGTGCTCATGAAAGGAATTTTGCACGGCTCTGTGACAGCCGATGTTTAGATTTTCTGGATTCAGTGATGGTGTGCACCTGATTTAGTATGGATCTAACTAGACAACATGTTTGGCTCTACTTTTCTATGAACATTAACTCTTTACTCATGTGTATTTGCCCCATAAATTGTGAATGATGTGGATATTTTAAAATGTGGTAAAGGGCATTAGCAGTTTCCTAGCAGTTTCTTGTCCCTGCTAGAAGATCATTTGGAAAGTTATAAACTTACATTTTTGTCTAGGTAAGTTCTATAACATTTATAGACGTCTGTACTTGGAATGAGTTTATGGAATAAGTGCTTAAATTTGCCATTGATTTATCTGATTGCTCATTAGAGCACAGTACCTCCATGTTTAGAAACATGTATTGATTGTGGAGGGTGAGACTCAGTGGAGTCCATGTTAGCATTGCTATGTCTTCATGAACTTCTGGGTCTCAGTTACTCAAGGCTGCTGACTTGAGAAATAATCTGGACACACACGGCCAGATTTCTGGAACAGGAGTTTGGTAGGGGCACATTGCTTTAGCTTTATTTATACTTGAAGATCCAGCCCAGAAGGAAGAGGTGTATTGCCAGTTTTGTTCTTAAATCCCATTGATGGAACTCAGTGCATTTTTCCTGTAATCTATTTCTGGCCTTTTATTTCAAGTAAGTATAGAAATTATATACATGCCAACACTCTGACCTGGCAGAGAACATCGTTGCTGCTAAAATGCCTGAATTGTCATTAGCGACCTTGCTCAGGTGCCAGCAGTCACTTTGCATCAATTTGTTCTCCGTTATTGCCCAGACAATAGGAGTTGCTTCCGGGTCTGTGTCACTGTCTCTCAACATACTTAGCATATTTCTCGATGAAGGGGTTATGAGATTGCTTTGACAAATTGCCTAAGCCACTCTTCTGTCATTGTCTGTATGTGTTCTGTTTAGGTCGCTCGGTGCTGCAACCCCGTGTGCATAAAATCTAGGCCATATCATTTTATGCTGTTTTGTCTTATTGGCTGGCTGACACGGCTTGTGTCTGTCTCCTTTAGGTCACCTTGTTTCAAAAATGACTTGGTGGTTTTAGAAGACTTTCAGAGAAAGGAAAATTAAGATAAGAGGTGCTGGCTAATTTGAAAGCAGGGAGAAGTGGAAAAATGATTTTTGGTTGAGAATGGAGAATGTAACGTTGTGTTAGTGATGCTGAATAACATGGGTGGGGAAGCTTTCATTTCTGCTGGTCTGTACTAGGAGAACTGGAAGATAGGAAAACCAAACAACTGTTCAATATAATCCTATTTTAGCAGTGGCTTTGTAAACAAGTTGATAATGTGAGATCAAGCTCACTTAGAATCAAGAGAAATGAATTTGTCAAAAATCCAGCTAGTTTCATTCTGCAAAATTGTGCTTTCCTGGGGCAACAATGAGGTATGTGGATAATTAAATTTTCATTAGCAGTGGGATGTTAGCAGAGCTTGGGCTTGCATTGCTAAATTTTCTTAGTGGCAAAGAATTAATGTGATCCCATAAGGCCATCTTGTTGGCATGTCAGTCAGTGACACGTCAGTTCCTCGAGAAGGAAATTCTTTTTCTTTCCAAAGTCTCCTGCAGTTCTTTTAGCTGAGCAGCCACCTGCCCTAGCTGCCCCTTTAGCTATCTCTGTTACTTCCTGTGGGAGGTTGTAGTGAGCTGGGGGTCGGCCTCTTCTGTCGTGTCATTAGTGATAGGACCTGGGGGAATGGTTTCAAGCTACGGCAGGGGAGATTCAGGCTGGACATGAGGAAGTATTACTTTTCAGAAAGGGTGGTCAGGCACTGGAATGGACTGCCCAGGGAGGTGGTGGAATCACCGACCCTGGGGGTGTTCAAGGAAAGACTGGATGTTGTGTTGAGGGACATGGTTTAGTGGGAGCTATTGGGAATAGGTGAACGGTTGGACTGGATGATCTTTTAGGTCTTTTCCAACCTTAGTGATTCTATGATTCTATGATTCTAAGTTGTGTGCATCTTGTAGGGGCTTCAGTAGCAACAGTCACCTCTCCCGTGTCCTGTAATACGCTGGACCAGGTACTTGCTTAAATAATGCAGGTGGTTTTCAGGCAGCCTTGGCTGCATGTTCCCCTGTCTTCTTCACTGATAACACTGGTGATAGACAAGGGAGGACAGAGAAGGCTGGAGCTGTGTAGGTCATTCCACAGGAGCAACTTCTCTGTTTAGCTTCAACAGGATAGTTATTAAGATTTAAACAAAACCTATATGGAAGAGAATGGCTTCCACGCTAGATTTTCCTTTATCATTTGTGTACATCTTTTATGCTTCTCTATATCCCCTGATGGTGTCTTATATGAATACGTAAGGGCTTATTAAAAATAATAAAAATAGTAGTATGTTCTCTCTCAGTGCTTTCTCTTCAGGGATTTCTTACTTTTCTTAAAAGAAGGAAATAGATATTGACACCAGTTTCTTTTGGATTGCTTCAACGTGTGTCTTAGTTCTACAGTCACTTAAGGTGTGGCACTGTTAATTAACCTCCCTGTGTATCTTGTATGTACAGTGATAACTAATGATTAACATGAATATATTCTGGACCACTTGAAATGTTCAGCTGTTCCTTGCTGCACCCTCCTGGACTTATCCAATAGCTCTTGCAGTTGAATCAAGGTGTTTTCTGCTTAACCATTGGGCTGTGTGGGCAGATGGGGATGGTCCACGTGAGAACTCTGATAGACTGCTGTATAATACTATACATGTTTATGTCAAATGATCATGGATGCATGACACGTAATGAGCTTATGCACCTTCTGTGTCTATTCATTTATTTATTTATTTTAACTACTGTTATTCTAAATAATAGCTAACCTCTGTCCTTGGTAAAATCGAAGTATAAGCTGAGATGAGTGGTTTTAGCCACAGCATCACGCTGGGCTATTCTTGCAAATGGACAACAGCTTTTCTGTTTCTCCAGTTAACTATCTAGCTTCTGGCTTAAAACAGCTGATGTAGCAGGAGGTATGCACCCTTGAACTGAAGAGGCCAAGGCATGAAAGCACACCTTGTAGGTGGCTGTTAACAGAATGCTGCAATGTGATGGTTAATGAGTGGAGGGAGCTCTGCTTTTCCTGCAGCCCTTCTGTCCTTCTGATGGGGAGACACAGCAAGTGTGCGTTAATTCCTAGCTGCTTCAGTTAAATGGGATGGAGCCTGTCTGTCAGAGATCACTAGCACCTAACATATGGATTTGGGAAGTGTTAACATCACATTTTGTTGGGATTAAGTGTGGACTTGAATTGCTCATTAAAAAGTAGTGAAATTATCCATGTCTTCCTTTTACTAGATAATATGATCAAAGGTGATTCTTTGTCACAGAATATTTAGGACTTTGCAGATGTGCATTAATTACAGTAATTGGGTTGTAGAGAAGCTATAGGAACAGGTCATGTGTTGAGGTTGTAGCTGTAGCTCCTTTACACTTAGTAATAAAATCTTTATAACTTAAGCAGCTGATGAGCTGTTGTGTTTCACGTTTCATGTTGTTTAATCTGTTTTGATCTTTCGTGTTTAAAACATTCTGTGCTGCTCATTTCATAATTTAAAATGAGTATCTTACGTTCTGTTTGTGTGTGTAAGTAAATGCTTCTTGAACTGACACTCCTCCTCTCTTCTGGAGAAAAAGCAGGTTGTCTATCTGGAACCTTAAAATGATCTATAATGTCTCAGCATTGAAGTGTTCTGACGTTAGGAATGCATTTGTCTTTCCTGCACCCCAGGCAGAGCACGTTAGAGATGAGCAGCCTGAATATAGAGGAGAGTGCAAAAAGGAAGTTGGTAGAAAGCAAGGAGGTATGAAACTTGATCTGGTCCCCTAGAGGCCACTGAGATTGATGCTGCGTTGTGGATTGCCTGGTTGTCACAAAACTGGATCTGAAGTAAAAATCTTCTGATTCCTGCCCATTGCCCTGATGCGTTGCCTTACAGTATGGTTACAGGGTTACAGTGAATTCTGAAAACTGAGTGGAGGTTGTCTTGGTCCTTTGCAGGTTGCTGCTGGAGCTGCTGGAGCTTCTTTTTGACAAATTCAACGCTGTGGCTGCTGCACACTCCATAGTCCTTGGACATCTTCAGCAGACGGTGGCCTCTCCTTGCAGCCAGTACGATGGTGATATCAAGCTCTACGACATGGTTGATGTGTGGGTGAAGATCCAAGATGTTTTGCAGGTAAGAGTCCTTCAGATGGGTACAGTTTCAGCTTGTAGCAGCTCTTTAAGCCAGAATACCACAGAAAACAGTTCTATTATGCTCAAGGGACAGCCTCACTGGAAGTTGTCTTTTGGCGAGTGGATGCATTTCTAGCAGGCGTCTAGATTCCAAAGAGCTTAAATACCAGCAAGACAGAAAGTATGGATTCACCCTTATACTGGGAGAAGTTGATTCCTTTTGTCGACTGAGTGATTTAGCAGAAGCTTTCAAACAGTGACACTTTTGTTCCATGTTCCCGTGCCATGCCTGCTTTATAAAGTGTCACTGCTCTAATCGCTTGTCTTGCCTTGTCATTATGCCTTGGTTGTAGTCAGCTGAGACAGTAGCTGCCAGCATGTTTTCAGGGAAGCCTTATTTGATTCCTATTCTAAACCATAGCGTGCTGAAGCTGAACCTTGCTTAGATTTTGGTACCACACCTATCACCATAGCATCTGAGCAGCGGAGCTGTCTGTCACACATCTTTTCTCTCATTCTTGATGTGAAGTTAAGACATGCTTAGCAGATTTTCCTTTTTTTTTTTTTCCCCACTTTTTGAATTTTGAATTGTCTTCACATATAGGAGTGTACAACTCACCCATTGTTTGCTAGAGGAGGTCAAAGAAATAAACCTGGTGTTGTTTATGAGATTTATGTTGGTCATTTCACCTCTGTCCTGTTCCTAAAAAATACTGTCTCCAACACTTAACACACATTTTCATTGTAGGGCACCGGTCTATTCCTGTTTCTCTAAAAACTTATTTGACTATGTGTGTGGGAACTGCTGACTAATGGCCTGAACCACTGATTGAGCACTTGGGGAAAGGACCTGGTCAGCCCTGGGAGCACAGGTGAAGGCAATTCACCTGTGCAGCTGGAAGGGGTGGAGCATGGCTGCACTTCTCTTGGACCTCATTTAAGGGCTGACTGCCACTGGGGAAGGTTCTCTTTCTGGAGATCCTTCCTTGGTGAAGCTTTCCCCTGCAAACCTAGGATCTTCTGATATGGGTGAGCAATCTTCTTCCTTCATAGCACCTCTATTGTGTCAGTCCTTTTGTCATCACACCTTTGTTGTAATGCCTTTCCCATTGTATTGATCTGATTGCTACACTGTAGAATGATGCACGTAGGATTTTTACTTGCACAGATATGGCCAACTGTATGCATGCTGTGATTTCAGGCACTTCTTGGACTTTTTAATCACACCCACTGTCTTCTTATCCACTTACATGTCTTTGTAAAGGATTTTTACCTTCCTTCATTATTCTTGGAAAAACTTGATTGGGAATATCCAGACAGAGGGTAATAATAGATTTTTCTAGATGAAAGAGTGTCACAAAGTTGGAGCTATCTGGCCCCATCAAAGTAAAGAGTTAGGCTTCAGGGCATAAGGAAAGGGTTTGGCAGTGAGTATCTCCAGCCATCTTATTGTCATACACAAGGTTGAGAAATCCTATAAGAGCTTTGAATTCTGCAGACTTTGCTGTAGCAGGACAAGACCTGGGACTAAAAATCCTCCAAGATTTTATCTTTAGTGAAGCAGACTGACAAGGCTGGTAATTCCCTCTTATCAGTGAGGGCTTGTGATGGTTTCATTCCTCATGAGTGGTTAAGTCAGGACTGAGTTATGCTGGCTATTACAAAATAACATTGATAAAACTTTTATGTAGAAGCCTATGTAGGTTGCACATAGAGTGAGTGAGCTTTCTTTATTAGGGAGAAAATATGTAACAAAGCTTTCTACAAAAAAAAAAAAAAAAGCCAAGGAAAATGCAGCAGCCCAACTGTAAAGATCTCATTGCTATTGGTGCGACAGCACGAGTGTCAGAAGGTGCCTGAAAAGCTTCTACAGGAGCCACAGGTAGCTTTGCCAATGCACAAAAGCTGCACTTTAAACTCTGTAATCTCTTGCAGCTTTAGGGTAAGAGATGAGCATTGACTGACTTGGTGAGGGGGAAATCTATTTCTCTGTTCAAAACCTCATGGCTTTTTTTTGTGTGTGTGTGTGTGTATGTTCCTAGGAATGGATTTCTTTTACCTTGCAATTTAAAAAAAATCTCTGAGCCCAAGACAAAGTTATTTCATTGCAGTGTTTCCAAGCAGGGGTAATTTTGTAAGGGGAGACCTTACATTTGTGTTAAGGGGGAGCAGAAAACTTTTAAATGCTGTTGGGGGAAGGTGAAAACGTGGAGGAGGTAGGTTAGTGGTGGGGTGCATTGGGGAAACATTATGATCCTGTAGATCATAATGAATGAAACTTATTCATAGTGCTGGAGCAGTGCTACGTGGCTCTGTAATTCACACAGATAATCTCTTCCACACACACATTGTGCATCTCTGCATGTGAAGTATGTTACAGCAAGGTTATCTCTTTATAGCTCTGTACCCAAGTCATAATGTGTGCTCACAGTGGGCTGGAAATTGTCCTTTTTTTTTTTTTTTTTTGTTTAGCTGGATTTCTGAGTGCTGCCTAATAACAGCACAAATCACTGTGGTATAATATTAGCGAGGTGGTTCAAAGTCATGCAATGTTCAGATACTGAGCATGTGGATATATTTTTGACCTTCTCTGTGAATAATAGAAGAATAACACTGAAGTCATCAGGAGAAAGGCAGAATGACCTTTTAGAGCTAGCTGCCAGAGAATAAACAAACAGAAAAATCAGTTTGTCAAAATATTAGAACAGCCTTGTTTGGTAAAACACAGCTTGAAGCTATTTGGACCAGAGCCAGCCTTGCCTGTAGTTGTATTGCCATACCAACAAGAGAGAGGTGTGGAAGTTGTTCCAGTTTTAATGTGCTATTTTATGTATGGAGTTAATTTAGTTCTTCAAAGTGAAAATGGAGTGGATTATAGAATGATAGAATGGCTTGGGTTGAAAAGCACCACAATGATCATCCTGTTTCAACCCCCCTGCTGTGTGCAGGGTCGCCAACCACCAAACCAGGCTGAACAGAGCCACATCCAGCCTGGCCTTGAATGCCTCCAGGGATCCAGGGGCATCCAAAATCTCCTTGGGTAACCTGTTCCAGTGGTCACCACACTCTGTGTGGAAAGCTTCCTCTTAAAAATATCTTTCTGAGGAGTAGGACCGAGTACTTGGTTGGAGAGAGAGCTGTGAGCTGTTAGAACAGCCCTCACAGCTGTACTGGTGTGAATAGTTCCTCCAGGACTGCGCAGCGAAGGAATTCTGAGTGTTCTGCCGCAGTTCAGTGTGTGTATTTGGTATCCTCCCATCTGAAAATATGAAGCGTTGTGTTGTGTGAGAGGCACTGTGATACACCTAGGTTGCTCTGAAAGTAATGCCTCTTATTTATTTCCACGGAAAGTAAAACAGACGCAAATAGCTCTGTAATACTGTTTGAAAGAGCAAATTTTCAGCTGCAAATCACTATCTTACAACAAAGTCACCACTATTAGTTGTATATTTTCACCAGTGGTGAACAAGAACCCTGCATGCCACGTGTGCAGAAATCTGCGCCAGTGGAGGTGACCCACAGTCACCACTGCTGAAATTTATCACCTACTGCCTCACTGAGCAGCATCTACTCTTTGTTCTCCATGTCAGGCATGATTTTTGTCAGACTGCCCCTCTGCTGCTATCTGGAACACAGCAACAAAATGTAATGGAAATACTGGTGGGAAGATTCAACCTCTACTTACATGCCACCAACATCCACTTGTGATGCTGTGGGGCAATATAATAAAATGGGAGGTGTTACTTTTGGAGCAGCCCTTGTACATCCTTGGGCTAAAGGCAGGCGTGCCTTCTGTCCTGTTGTGTTAGAGTCAGGGGGCTGACAGAGGACATGCTATAGCAGCAACTGGTACTTGGTGTGCTGGTTTTTTCTTGCTGTTCTCTGTTGCAGAGAACACTTAACAGCTCATTCACCTTTTTATTTTTTTGGCACTGTCTTTTGATACCAAGATGAGAGAGGAGCATCTGTCCCTGCTGAATAATACCAGCGTTCATTCAGCTTCTTCAGAAATGTCACCTTCCCGTTGACAGGGTGATCATCCTGTCAGCTTTTGTATGAGTGCAGTACCCTGCTGCTGGAGAAAATGCCCACAAAGCGTGACATCTCCATGCATCCTCAGTATCCTGTTATTAGCTTATGCCAGTGCTGTTTGCCTCCAAGGAAGAGATCTTTTCTTTTGTAGTAGTGGTGTTTGTAGTTGACAGTTCTCAGCCTTTTAAGGAGGTGGCCAATCTTTGATTTCTCTCTGCTGCAGAAGAGAAGGAAATTCACATTAGGGCTGTGGGATGCACGTCACATCTTTGCAACACCAGTGGGACAGAATACACACACATTCGGGTAACTGCTGTCCCTGTTTTGTGGTCTTCTGTTTGATGCTGTCAGGTGTTGTCCAAGAACAGTGTTATTTAGCAGCCTATGCATTGCTGAAAACATAAGAAAATTGTGACAGGAGAGATTGAAACCTATCCCCTGCCAACGTGCTGCTGTTCTGTTACTGCAGAGTTGGAAGTACCAGAAACTCTTGAATGATACACCCTTTTCCTTTACATATCATGCTCCTCTGCCCAAAAGGTGCATGGCATTTTCCTACCTGTAATGGGGACAACACATTTCCATGGTTCAAGCAGGGAGACGGAGCAGTTTTGCAGTATGCAGCTAAATCTGGTGGCCAGCAATGTGATGACTTGCTGAAAAGCTGGTCTTCACTTGTAGTTGCCGTGCCATACTTCTGAGGGAATAGCTGCATGGGGATACATTAACAGCAGAAGATATTGCTCCTTTAAACAGGGTAAGGCAGTGAGGTTCAGCAGTTGCTTGATTTACCCTGTTGCATCCTTCTGGAAGAAGTGTAGAGGGGGTTCAACTCCGTGGCAGGCCATGCAGATCTGTCAGCTACGCTGCAATGCCATTTCTTCCACCTCCACATCTGAGGATGCTTCTCTTCCTCTGGCATTGTTGCTCATTTTCCTAGCAGGTATCTAATTTGAGGGTGTTGGTTTG